CTTGCTGGCTTGTGTACCATGGATACCATCTGCAGTGGTTTCCTGTCGTCCTTAGAATCTTCCTTTCTGAGGCACTGTTCAGAGGGACTCTAGTGGAGAGTGTCACCCAGCATCGGGTGGGCTTCTCCATGTCCTTTGTGGAGATGGAGCATGGGGCCCACGTGTAGCTCCAGTTCTGGGACACAGCTGGCCAGGAAAGGTTCTGGTGAGAACAGGGGGCAGCCCTGGGCTTGGCCCCCACTCCCTGCCTCCAATTCCAGGCCAACCATGGGGACCAGGAAGGGATCCCATTCCCCAGAAAGGGGAAGGCAAGAGAAGGGCACTGGAGGTCTTTCAGAAGCATGGACTCTGGAGGGAGGGAGGGAGTCTGAGGCCTGGCCCACTGGTGCCTGATCCACACCTCAGTATTCCCACTTGTACAATAGGGGCCATATCCGAGCACAGTGGCTCACACCCAGTGTTCCCCTGCCTGAGGCAGCCTCCCTAAGAGAGTCAATGACAGCTGTGGCCTTGAAGAGTGACAGTCTAGCAGGACGATAAGTTATAGACCATAGAGCCCAAAGCCTCCAATGAAGACAGCCAATCAGCACCCTGACAGCTCAGAGAAAGAGCTGGTCCATTAGGTAAGATGGCTTCTAGGCTGAGCCTGAAGGATGAACAGTTTGACAAGGGTACAGGACATTCTAGGCAAGCCAACAACACATGAAAGACACAAAGGGGACTTCTTAGCAGAAGGAATTTATTGGGCACTTACCACGTCATCCTCATTTATTCTCTCACAGTGGTGCCAGGTCATTGTCATTTTCCCATGAAGACACTGAGGCTCAGAGGTAGAGGGCAGAGGCTGGCCTAGACTGTCAGTTCCAGCCACACCTAGTGGACAAGTGATTCTCCTCTCTTCAACCACAAGGTTTCAGAAGCTCTGAGAGCAGAACAGGGTCCATGGGCAGCTAACCTTGATTTAGTACCTTCTCATGGGCAGAGGAGATACAGCCAAGTCTTCAACCTTGCAATGGTTGAAAAGAAGTGGTGGGAGGCCAGGGTGTTTCAGGTTGAGCAAGCAACTCGAGGAACGCTCTAGAGGCCAGAGAACCTGACTTCACCATAGCTGCTACAGATAGAGGGTCTGGCCAGGGTCCTATCTTGGACAAGGAGCTTTGCTTACACGGAATAGCATAGGGATAGACCCAAAGGGAAGATTCTGGAACATCACACTTAGTTAGAAAACAGAGCCCAGTCCACATCTCCAGATGGGGTCAGTCCTTTAAGAACTTTGTTAGAGCCGGGCTCACTTCTGTAATCCTAGCTACTCAGGAGGCAGAGTTCAGGAGGATCACAGTTCGAAGCCAGCCAGGCAAATAGTTTGCAAGACCCTATCTTGAAAAACACTTCACAAAAAGGGTTGGTGGAATGTCTCAAAAAAAAAAACAAAAAAAAAAAACTTTGTTACAGTCCAGAATCCTTATTTCTGCCCCATGTTTGCTTTGATAGTCTCTTCCCTTGCAGCGATTAATAATGACACTCTGGGGAAGGAGACAGGGACTTCCATTTTTTTAAATCTCTTTTATGTGGCAACACAGCCCTAGATTTCTCACTGAATCCTTTTTTTTTTTTTTTTTTTTTTTTTGGTGGGACTGGGGTTTGAACTCAGGGTTCACACTTGCAAAGAAGGCGCCCTACCACTTGAGCCACACCTCCAGTTCATTTTGCGCTGGTTATTTTGGAGATGGAGTCTCAAGAACTCTTTGCCTGGGCTGGTCTCCAACTGTGAGCCTGCTGATCTCAGCCTCCTAAGTAGCTAAGATTACAGATGTGAGCCACCAGTGCCTGGCTCTGAATCCTTTCTAAATCTCATTTTACACAAGAGTCCGCTGAGGCTTTGAATGACATCTACCTGAGTGTTGCAGGCAGGTGAGTGAGATGTGCAGCAAGAGGAGAGGACTGTGGCTGTCCAGATAAAGGCAGGGCACTGTAGAGCCCAGAGCTGCAAGCTCCGAATGTGGCCAGAGTGGGGTGGAGGGCCTGGCCTGGGGTGAAAGGATTTGGATTCATCCTGTAGGCTGTGAGGAGTCAGCAAAAGATCTGTAGAGAAAAGCCAGGACAGAGCTGTACTTTTTATTTTGTTTTTTGCTGGTACTGGGGTTTGAACTCAGGGCTTCATGTTTACATGCTGCTTCAGCCCAGATCTGTATTTGGAACCCTGCCCACAGAACCAAGGAGCTGTAGCCATCTGAGCACAGTAGTTTTTCCTTGTCTAGGACTTCACATGGCAGTTTTAGTTACCCATGGCCAACCATGGTCTGAAAATATTAAATGGAAAAATTCCAGAAAGAAACCATAAGTTTGTAGGTACACACCCATTCCAAGCAGTGTAACAAATCCTGTTTTATCCTACTCCATCCTGCCCAGGGTATGAATCATCCGTGCTGCCTACACCACTGCCCGTTACTCAGTAACTAGCTCAGTCATCTGAGTGCTCTATCGTAGTGTTCATGGTTGAGTAACCCTTGTGTCGCAACCTAACCCTTTTTTTTTTTGCAGTACTGGGGCTTGAACTCAGGGCCTCCACCTTGAGCCACTCCACCAGCCCTTTTTTGTGTTGGGTATTTTCGAGATAGGGTCTCACAAACTATTTGCCTGGGCTGGCCTTGAACCACAATCCTCCTGATCTCTGCCTCCTGAGTAGCTAGGATTACAGGCATGAGCCACTGGCGTCCATTGCAAACTAATGTTCTATGTCATTCATCTCCCTTCATCCCGGTCACATTGGCATTCATCATCTCACATGAAGAAGGGTGAGAACAGTACAATAATATATATTAAGAGAGAAAGACTACACCTATGTATATAACTTTTATTACAGCATTATTACTTTTTTATTGCTCATTCTTTTTTTTTTATTCATATGTGCATACAATGTTTGGGTCATTTCTCCCCCCTTCCCGACCTCCTCCCTTACCCTCCTCTGCCCCCTCCCTCTTCCCTTATTGCTCATTCTTGCGCCTAATATATAAAGCAAACACTATCACAGGTATGTATGAATGGGAAAAAATCTACACAGGGCTTCAGAACCACCTGCACTTTCAGGTCTCCCTCAGGGAGACCTGCAAATAGGAAGGAACTGTTGTATTTTACAGGTCATCTAAGGGTAATCACTCACTGGATGCAATAATGTCCTCTAGGACCACACCTGATAAGTTCTCATCCACATTGGCTTAAACATTGCACATAACAAGAAATGTGCCTCTTCCCAAGATGGTCCAAACTATCTTCGGTTGCTCTGTCAGAAGCTTACATTTAGCCCAGACACAGCTCTCTATAGCTTCTACCACTTTCTTATTTTCCTAGCAGAGATCAGGAGAATTGCATTTTGAAGCCAGTCCCAGGCAAATAGTTTGGGAGACCCAATCTCGAAAAAACGCATCACAAAAAAGGGCTGGTAGAGTGGCTCAAGGTGTAGGCCCTGAGTTCAAATCCACTGGCTTTGCTGCTGCCTTTCCTCCAGCCAAGCAGGGCTGCCTCCTGCTCCAGCAGGCCCACACAGACTTGGCCACACTTGAGGGCCTTCCAAGAGGGGCAGAGCCCTGAGGTGTGAGGAGAACCCACGCTGGGCCTGGTTGTGGGAATGCAGAGCTAGCTGGAGTTCCCACCTGGACAGGATAGCCATGTTGATGAACTTTTCAAGATCGCTGGACCTCACAGGCTTGCTGAGGGGTAGGGAAGCCCTTGTCTTGCAAAGCCCTTGGGTGGGGGCCCACAGTGTGAGAGGAGGAATTCACTTAACCTCAGAAGAGCCCTGTGACACCCAAACTGTTAGTATTCCCACCTGCATTCGGGAGCCAGGCTGAAAGAGGAACAGGCACGTGATGCCAGCTGGCTGAACCCAGTGGGAAGGCACTGGCACAACTGTATTCTCTCCCCAGGCCTTCTGGGACTGCTGCTCCCAATCCCCACCAGGGATCTAAGGCTTTGCTTTGAGCACCTGACAACTAACTTCATGCCGGTCATCAGGACCAGTGAGGTTCAGTGGAGACCTGGGCTCCTGAACAGAGAAGCTGTAGGGAACCAGAACCACACACAGCAATGGGCTGCTTCCTGTTTTCACAGCATCCCAGCTGTGCAGACCTCCTGTAGATTTCTAGAGAAAGCACCCTCCTTCCCAGCTGTGCTACCGTATGCAAGTCACCAGTCTCCTCATGGGTAAAGGGAACATCAGTATTGCCAGATCACTGTGAAGGTCAAGGTGACACATGTAGGCCACCTAGTACCCCTAGTACCTGGCACTCACTTAGTGCAGGCTTTGGTTATTGTTCCTCATGCATTGACCTCAGTTCTTAGCTCAGCTACTCCTGCTCCATCAGGACTCAATTCAGAGGCTCTCATCAGAGAGCCCCCTTCCCTCCACCAACTACCTGATCTACAGGAGCCCCCTCACTCAGCCCATCCCCCATTGGAGCTTATCAAAGCCTTTCCACAACTGGAAACCATTTTGTTCATCTATTTACTTGTTTTTTCTCCCATCCACTAGAATGCCAGTCCCGCTCTTTTTATCTTTTTCTTCCCTTCTTTTTTTTTTTTTTTGAGATAGGGCCTCACTATGTAGCCCAGGCTGGCCTTGAACTCCTGATCTATAGGTAGATGGGATTACAGGTTTGAGCCACCATCTCAGGCCTTTAGAGGAACCTTTATAGTCATAGAACAAAAGAAAGTCATGAGTCAACCCATTTGCCAATCACAAGAAGGGAGTATCATGCAGACCCGCTCACCTTGGGAAAATCTCTTCCGTGGGTCTCAGATGGTGTTTAGGCTTTGTGATACATTCTCAGAGGTTTATCTGTTGGTCAGGAAAATGTTAAGTCACACACAGAAGGTGTGACTTAAGGGGTAGATAACCTGCCTAACAAGCACCAAGCCCTTAGTTCAAAACCCTAGTACCACCCAAAAACAACAAGAAGAAAAGGGTAAGGCACATATGAATAAAATAAAAATAAAAAAAAAAAGGGTAAGATAATTTGGTGAAGGGCCAATTACCATCTCTGCCAGCAAGCCTTCCTTGATTACCCCCAGGACCTTCCCACCTAGCCACTCCTGTTGCAAGGCAGGATCCCCAGGAAGCAGACTGTGAATGGAGATCAGTGAGCAGACATTGATTAGGGGCATCTTGACACCCACACCTGGCCAGAGAAGGAAGGGAAGGAAGCAGGATTGGGCAGGGAGAGAACTTGGGTGGACGTCATATTGATGATGAGGCTGGGTTAGGCTTTCAGGGTTGGCCAGCACTGGGGCAAGAGAGCAAGGCCTTTAACACTGCCAAAGAGCGATGCTGGATGTGGGCTGCCCTGAGTGTGGGTAGTTCCCAGGAGCGCTGCAAGCTGAGGTCCTCCCCAGAAGCGCTGCAAGCTGACGTCCTCCCCAGCAGAACTTCCAGCAGCTGGCAGGTTTGTGGTGGCTCACCACAGGGTCCCCTGTGTGCCCAATATGTTTGCTGCTCATTTGTGTTCACCCCTGCCTCCCAGATCCACACACAGCCCCTGGGATTGGGGTGAGCCATTGGGCAGCAACCCTGGGTTGCAGGCCACCCCTCATTTCAAGCCCAGACAAATCCTGGCCTGAGGACATAAGGAGGCACCAAGCCAGGTGAAATCCCATACTCCTCCTTGGCCAGGGCAGATGCGTCTGGACGCTGACCACCTATCTGAGCGTCCAAGCCCAGGAATGCTGCCAGAAATGGCCACATCGCAGCCAATCAAGGGATAACAGCTTCCCCGGCACTTGGGGGCTATGTCTTGTCCCCCATTCATGAGCACACCTTCTTGTGCAGTGGGACCTTTTAGGAACCCCTTGCCAGTTGAGGAAACTGAGGTTCAAGGACAGAAGTGGGCTGAGCTGAGTCCCCAAAACCCAGGGGGCATGACCTGGGTTATACTGGGTCAATACTGTTGATATTAATCCTCTGTCATTTGTCATCCAGTGACCTAACACTTCCGTCCCACCAGGAGTTTGAGGTTGGTGCTCTTCTCACCCTTTCTCTCCCAGAGTCAACACTGGCATGGGCCTGGGTGCTGCCTCCCACTGGGGACCTGGGGGACATGGGCCTTGTGGATGAGCCGGACACCCCCCCAGCCCTCTTCCAGCTTGATGTGGCCCTGCTGCAGGGCCTGCTGGATGGCATCTGTGAGGGTGTCAAAGGCCAGGTCCACGTTCCAGTTTGTTTTGGCTGAGGTCTCCATGAACGCCATGCCCAGGGAGGTAGCCAGCTCCTCTGCCTCCTGGGTGGAGACACAGCGGGTGCTCTGCAGATCACTCTTGTGGCCTACCAGCAGGAAGATCACCTTGTTGGGTCCCTGAGTGGACATGACTTCCTCGTGCCAGTCTTGGATGTGTTCAAAGGATTCCCTGTTTGTCACATCAAAGACTAGCAGGACGCCCACCACATTTCGGTAGAAGGACCTAGTGATGCACCTATGGAGGGTGGGGGTAGGTAAGAGAGACTTAAGTCTTGGAGACACCCCAGACTACCAAGGAGACACCCCAAGATCTACCGCTGGGGTCCACAAAGTGCCTCCACTTGTTCTAGCTTATTTCACCTGCCCCTGGCCTCTCTGCCTCCCTCACAGGAGAGACCCGGTTCTCCTGGATTAGAAGCAAGAATAAGTCACAAAATGGCGCATTCCTGCAAGGGCCCTGACATCCTCCTGATTGAGGCTTTGCCCTCCATCCTGCCTGGCAAACTCCTACCCATCCTTCAAGGCCTACACTAATCTCTGTTCCTTGGATATCCCCCACCCTTCCCCCTTGGGCTCTGTGGGCTGTCTTCAACCCCAGGCCGTCCATTCCTCCAAGTTCAATGTCTGGGTACAAAATCCCCCCCCCCCGGACAGGATGCTCCTCTTGGACTTGGGGGCTGGAGATGAGGCACAGCGCTGGCCCACCCCACAGCGATCACAGAACGAATGACAGAGAGGGAATGGCCCAGTGGACGGAAGGCCCAGGGCAGGGACCCCACACCAGGTGGGCTAGCATGGACCCCTCCCTCCTTCCCCGCCAGCCCCCTGCCGCACCTGAAGCGCTCGTGGCCCGCCGTGTCGCAGAGCTGCAGCTTGACGCGCGGCCCGGCCGGGAGCTGCAGCGCTCGGCTGTAGAATTCGACGCCCGCGGTGGGCTCGGGCGCCCCGGGCTCCGCGATCCCCGCGTAGCACCGCAGCAGCGACGTCTTGCCCACCGCCGCGTCCCCCAGCAGCGCGATGCGGAACTGGTAGCGGCAGCGCCCGGCGTCCATGGCTCCTCTGCCCTCGCCGGGTCCCTGCTCCCCGCGCAGAGCCAGAGCCCAGGGTCACCGCGCCAGGTCACCCGGCGCCTGCGACGTGTTCAGCACAGACCCCAGGGATGGGCCGGCGGGAAGTCACTGCCTCCGTGTTCTCCTCTGTAACATGGGACAATGACAAACCCCTTCTTCCCGGGCTAAAGGGAGGAAGCGGAAAGCGCGGGGAGGGGGCTCTGGGCCACCTTCCCATCCCTTTCCTGCCCCGCCCGCTGGCTGATGGCTCCTGGCTCCTTTCTCTCTGTCCTTACATTTCCTGCATATCTAGGATTCACCACAATGGCCACGAGATTGCATTTCACTAACTTTTTGCCAGGGTTGGCCTCAAACAGTGATTCTTCCCATCAACACAGATTCTTCCCATCTATGCCTTCCGAGTAGCTGGGATTAGAGGTGTGCGTCACCACGCCCGACATGCAAACAACTTTAGTCTCTTGGTTTGTTCCTTGATCAATCCCACTATGCCACTGTCTTCATGCAATCTTATGAGTGGGGCTATGATACTATTATACCCCGTTTTTTTGGTACTGAGGCTTGAACTCAGGGCCTCATGCTTGCTAGGCAAGTGCTCTACCACTTGAGCCACTCACCAACCCTATTATGCCCATTTTTATAGATGGAGTTAAATAATTAGCAGAAAGAAGGAAGGAAGGGAGGGAGGGAAGAAGAAAGGGAGGGAGGGAAGAAGGGAAGGAGGGAGGCAGGAAGACAGAGACCAGCTGCCAGGTCTACCCACTGCCAAAGCTTTGCTTACCATTTCTGTTTCTCACGGAACAGGTTGCAGAGCTGGAAAAACCCAGTTTCCTCCCTCTGATTCCAAATAAATCAACCAGAAGCTATTTTATTAGGTCTCCTAGTAAGCCTGGCCAGCTGAGGTAGTCCGGCAAAAACAGAAAGGCATAAAACAGCTGGAAATGCAGCTGGAGCTCAGGCTTCCCTGCAGACTTTCTGGTCAGTTCACGTGGCAAGTACGCTGTCAGCATCAGAACCTTTAACTTCCTCCGCTCCTGCTGGGACTGGAGCTGGGATCATGTGTCTGCCTTTGACTGCTTCTGGCACCAGAATCCAGATGTCAGCTGACCTCCGCCACAGATTCACTGTGTGACCCAGGGCAAGTCATTCCCCTTCCTTGAGGCCCGCTTCCTCTTCTGCTAAGCAAGGCGGATCTTGGCAGCCACAGTGCTCAGGGAGCTGGGGAGGAGCTGTGTAGACCAGCAGTGAAGCTCTGCACATTTCCACTAGACAGATCTGGGCTGTAGCTCCAATGGTCACTCAGTAATCATGTGATCTTGGCCAATTTCATTCACCCATTTATTCATTCATTCATTCACTTGGCAATTTTTTTTTTTTTGGTGGGAGTGGGATTTGAACTCAGAGATTCATACTTGCAAAACTTGAAACACATCTCCAGTCCATTTTGTTCTTTTATTTTGGAGATGGGATCTTGAGAACTATTTGCATTTAACAATTATTTCAATAAGTGCTGGTCATCTTTTATATCCAGGCAAATATACAGCAGTGGAAAGTACAAAAGAGAAAATACTTGCCTGGGGGAGTTCATATTCTGATGAAAAAAGACAGGAAACCTGGTATCTATATAAGGATTCAAGGAGCAACAAGAGCTGTCAAGTAACAATCAAACAGGACAGCGGCTTCAGGGTGTAGTGGGAGGCTGATTGAAGCAGGATGGTGCTCAGCACCGTTGGCTCATGCCTGTAATCCTAGCCACTCAGGAGGTTGAGATCAGGAGGATTGTGGTTCAAGGCCCTATCTTGAAAATACCCAACACAGAAAAAGGCTGGTGGAGTGGCTCAAGGTATAGGGCCTGAGTTCAAACTCCAGTACTCAAAAAAGAAAAAAATAAAACATAAGAAAAAAAATTTTTCTCTGGTGCTGGGGATTATCCCAGAGTCTGGCATCACTCCTACTGAGCTGTGCCTCCAGCCCAAAAGTAAATCCTTTTCTTTCTCCTTTTTCACCTTCCTTCCTCTTTCCCTTCTTCCCGCCCTCCTTCCCTTCTTTCCTGTCTGTTTTTTTTGGAGTCAGGATATGGTTATGGAGTCCAGATTCTCTTGACTCAGCCTCTAGAGTGCTGGGATTACAGCTGTGTGCCCACCACACCCAGCTTCCAGGAGAAAATCTTAATGTATTTTAGTTAGGTAGAGAGTTTTTTTTCGTTTTTTTCCTTTTTCTTTTCTTAGGTAGAGAATTTTAAAGAGGACACAAAAAGCACAAACTACAACAACAACAAATCAGTATGTTAGATTTCTCAAATTAAAAACTGTTGCTAGGGCTAGTGGAATGGCTCAAGTGGTAGAGTGCCTACCTAAAAACTCCTGTTCTTGACATCTGGGCTGGTGTGTTGACAGCAGCCTGTAGGGGCAAAGGTCAAAGCTGAGAGACTAGCTAGGAGTCTGTTGCCATCATCAGGACCAACAGTACTCAGTTCTCCAGGGATCAGTAAAAGTTGTCAGGTTCTTGACACATTTTAAAGGCAGGGCACATTGGATTTGCTGGTGGATTGGACGAACAATGTTGCAGGGCACAGGTGATCTCCAAAGACTACTTAAGTGGGGAAGGCAGGTCTGGAGGGGAAGCTGCCTATGCGACACCCAGGTGGACATGGCAAGCCACCTGTAGGACATCAAGTCTGGTCCAGGAGAGGCTGGATCTACACATTCAAAAGCCATCAGTAGGGTTTTCTTTTGTTCTTTCGCAGTACTGGGGTTTGAACTCACGGCTTACATCCTGAGCCATTCACCAGCCCTTTTTTGTTGTTTTTGTTTTGTTTTTGAGATAGGGTCTCATAAGCCAGCTTGGAACTTTGATCCTCCTGCTCTCTGCCTCTTGAGTAGCTAGGATTACAGGTGTGAGCCACCAGCACCTGGCTGTTCAGTAGGTTTCTTATGCTATCAGAATCTTTCACCTTCTTCATAAAATGGGAATACTAAAACCTGCCTTTTGTTTTGTTTTGTTATTTGGAAATGAAGTCTCCCTCTGTTACTGGTTTCAAACTCTTGCGCTTATGATCCTTGTGCCTCAGTCTCCCTAGGAGCTGGGCCTACAGCAGAGCACTACCCTGCCTGGCTAATCTAGCTAATTTTTAAAATGTATGTAAGAGAGAGCTCCATTTCCCTCAGGGTCAGCCCTGAATAAGCCTGTTTCCTTTCACCAAGGTCTGTCTCCTGGGTTTTGAGTAGAGTGGACCTCTGACTCAATAAAATATCCTTTGGTTTTCTTTCTTTGGTGGACAGTACAATATTCAGAAGTGACCATGTCAAAAATTTAGTTACTAAACAAATGGTTACTGAGTGCTTTTACTTCAACTTTTCTCAGAATTAAAAGTATTAAAAAAAAATCAATTAGGCTGGAGGTGTGGCTCAAGTGGTAGAGAGCTTGCCTACCAAATGTGGGGCCCTGAGTTCAAAACCCAGTACTGAAAAAAATTAAAAATCACTGCTTTATAAGGGCTGGGGAGGTGGCTCAAATGGCTGAGGCTAAGAGCCAGGTCCCATGTTCACACCACAGTACCTCCCCCAGCCCCAAAAAAAAATTCGGAGAAAAAATTAAAGTGTGTGTGTGTAAGAACAAAACTTAACACAGAAGCACCTGGCAGTCACTACATTTGTTTTTTTGGGGGGGTACTAAGTATCTTTATTTGAAGGAATGTTACAAATTAAAGAACTTAAATGGATTTTTGGTACAACTTATAGAGAAGGTAAAAGTAACCCCACAATATGCATGCTCTGCCTTGATGACCAGAAGCACTACATAGCTTTGGGGAAGTCAGCCTAAGGCTTAGTTCTGGTTATCACTGACTCCCAGCGTGTGCTTGTCAAAGAGATACTCTGCCATTCCAGATTCAGGGGCTCCCATCTTGCGCAAGTTGGTAACATGGTCACCCAATTCTTTGATGGATTTCACTTGCTCGTTTAGGTAATGAGTCTCAATGAAGTCACACAAGTGGGGGTCATTTTTATCAGTGGCCAGCTTGTGCAGTTCCAGTAGTGACTGATTCACGCTTTTTTCCAAGTGTAATGCACACTCCATTGCATTCAGTCCCCTCTCTCAGTCATCACGGTCTGGGTTCTTGATATCCTGCAGGAAGATTCTGCCACCTCGTTGGTTCTGCAGCTTCATCAGTTTCTCAGCATGTTCCCTGTCCTCATGAGATTGGTGAAGAAGATATTTGGCAAAGTTCTTCAACGCCACATCATCTCGGTCAAAGTAGTAAGACGTGGACAGGTACACGAAGGAGACGCAGAGCTCCAGGTTGATCCGGCGGTTGATGGCGGCCTCCGAGTCCTGCTGGTAGTTCTGGCGCACCTGCGGGGTGGACGTGGTAGTCATGGCGGCGCCTAGGAGAGGTGCGGTGCTGCACGGCGCTGGAGCGGTGGCGGTGGCCTTGGGGCGGTCCGAGGACGCTGCGAGGAGGTGGTGAGGGGCTTCTGGCTTTGAGCGGCCGGCCGGGGTCGGGGTCGAGCGCCGGGTTCCGTTCAAGCACTGTTGACGTAGGAAGCCGCGGCGACTCTTCCGCGAAGAACGTGTCAGTCACTGCATTTTTATGTTGATGCTCATTCATTCATTCTATGAGCCAAAAAATAGCACATGGCAGCGAATGAGAGACAAGGATTTGTCTATGTCGCTTACCTGCCGTGTCATTCATTCCTCAATTTCCCTATCGGTGAAACGGAAATAATTACGAAACCTCTCCACAGGCTATTATGAAAACGAGATGGGTGACGTGACTCGGCGCAGAGTAAACAGTAGACGCTCAGTAAAGTTGACATGCTAGCGGAGGAGACAGTTCCTGAACGCGTCCCCTAAGAAGCCTTCCCACGACCTCCTTCCCAACGTCTCTCGGGAAGCCCACGCGATCGCTGCTCCCTGCGTCCTCAGGCGCCTCGCGTGCCGAGGTGGATCCCAGCTCCAAGGCCGGATCCCGGGCCCGCTGCGGTACGAGCCTAGCGCCGCTTAACCGAGGTGCGGGGCGACTTCCCACCGAGGGAGCATCCGGCTCGCGGTGGCGCCTGTGGACTACAACTCCCAGTAGCTTCGCGCGCCGTGCGCATGCGCAGCAGCCGGACCGGGTGTATATAAGCTTTCTGCAGGCTTCCGCCTGTCCTTTCTGCCGGTCGCCGTGTTTGAGGCTTGTCAAATGGTGTGAAGCTTGGCCTCTCTCCCGTACCTTTTCCCCCCACCTCCCGCGCTCGCTGGTCGCCGCCCGTATCTGCGGGATGTGGAGGCCTCGCCACCTGTGCGGCCCAGGGCCAGAAAGCCACGACGGTCGCATGCGCGAAGAGAGAGGCCGGAGCCCGCCGCGGCCCGCGCCGTCCTGCGCTGGGGTCTGATCGGTGAGTGACCCGTGTCGCCGGCTGCGTGCGCGTTGCGGGCGGGAGCCGGTAACCATTCCTGGGCGTTGCAGCGATCGCGGCCTGCACGGTGCCTGATGTGACGTAGTTTGGGTGTGACACCAATTTAATGGCCTAGGAGCTTCCTGGTAGGTGAAGGTGACCTTGGGCAAGTGCTTCTGGTTTTCAGGAGGACCAGTTTTAGTCATTTAAACTTTTTGTTGCGGTGCCACGGCCCTAGCGCATGCTAGGCGAGCTATGCCACCGCTACATCTCCAAGCCCCAAAGCCTTCTGAATTCCAACTCTGCAGACTGTTACGCTGATAAGCAAGTGACTCCCTATTTTTCTTAGGTACTGAGGCTGGAACTTGGGGCCTTACACACGTTAGGCAAAGCTCTCTACCACTGAGCCACACCCTAGTCCTGAACGTCTTTTAAAATAGTAAGGCGAAGATTGAGATAATGCGCACAAAACACTAGCGCGTAGTACACCGTAGTGGTCCTTGGGACCTAATGGTCACAGGATTTGTGAGTCAGGTGGCTGAATAGCTATTGGGGTTTCACGTTGTGATGTCCATCGCCCTGTGGCCCTTATCGAAGCTGCAGTTGCTTCCACATAGCTGCTGTGGTCAAAGAGGAGCCCAGATTAACAGCTTTTTCCTTGACGGTCGCCGTTCTGTTTGCTGTAACTGATCTGCAACATTTTGGGAAAAGACAGAACTATTCTATCTACTTGGCTGAGATGGTTAGGATCCAGGTTCAAGGTCAACCCAGGAAAATAGCCAGAGCAAAAGTGGACTGGAGCTGTGGCTCACGCAGTAGAGTGCCTGCTTTGCAAGCAAGAATGAATCCCTGAGTTAAAACCGTAGTCCCAGCAAAAAAAAAAAAGTCACCGGTATAGAGAAGTAGCTTGCTGACCTAAGAACCAGTATGCAGGGGCGATTGAGCATCTTGGATGTAGGTCCTGGGAACATTCAGTGGCGCATAAGGCAATGCTCTGTCAAGACCAAAGGTCTTAGGGAGGGGGAGGGGGTGGGGGCAGGGGGAGAAATGACCCAAGCGTTGTATGCACATATGAATAATAAAACAATAAAAAAAAAGACCAAAGGTCTTGTTTTTGAGGACCAGGTGAAGGGAATAATGAGATTTAGGATAATTGTGTTCTCATTCACATTAGCTGTCCCCAATGAAGAGTCCATGAAGACTGGCGAATAAGGACTTCAGGAGACCCGACACTGATAGAATGCAACAGGACCTGGTAGGTTTCTTCCAAAGACTTATTTTTGGGAACTACCTGGTGGGCCTGTACAGCATGTTCCCAAGGGCTGTGGCTTCTTGTGGCCATGGGATCTCCAACTGCATGCAAGAGAAACCTGGAGAGACTTTGACAGCTCAGGTCACCCCAATATCTGCAGCTGCCACTCGCCTTTCCTATAATGTATTAGGACATGGTCTGGAAGTCTTCCACCTGAGTCCAGGTGACCCAGCTGCATGTACTACTGAACCAGCCTGGTTAAGTCGTCACACTAAGCTTTTATTCTTGCAGGTTGCCCTCAGGCTTTCTGGCAGTGTCTGATACTTACTGAGCAGACCATCTTGTTGTCTCTGGAGCTGTATTTTAGCCTCAGGTAAAGTTGATACTAAGGCTTTCTCAACCCTCTGGTTCCCTTTCCCATCAGATCTGAATGCTGGTCTTGGTGGTCGTAAAAGGAGGGAAAGTGATACTGAAGCTGCCTCACAGCATTGCAGCCTGGCATAGCATGTGGGCTAGTTTCAAACAGGACTGAATTTTCTTCCCAGGAAAATGGGGATAATCTGAAGACATGAGCATGCAGCTCTGGGTGGCTAATGCAGTGATTGGTGACTAATAACTATATTGGGGAATTTTCTTTTGATAAGTGTCTTTTTAATTTTATAGATCTATGTAACCAGTAAAGCAGTCACATCTGATACTGGTCTGCAGAGTCGGGTAAGTTAGTGATTGTGAACCCAGTCCTTAAGCTGTTTAACAGATAGAATTAGAAGGGTATTCAGATCTATATAAAAGGATTAGCATTTTAGTAATTTACATCTGGCTTTCCTTGTGTGCTGTATTTGTAAGCTTTTTGTGAAGGGGGCAGATAACTTGTTTTACAGTATGACTTGATCAATTAAACATTTGCCCACCCTAAAGAGGCCATGCTGGAAGTAGAACCGCCCTGTACCCCTGGCAGCAAGGACTGAGCTACAAGTACTGTACATGGCTAGAGCTCATGACACAGTCTGATACGAACTCATCTCCCGCAATGCCAGGGGGAGTAGAGACAGATTGAGATTAGAAATGAGTATTAAAGATTTCCAGGCTCACTGGTCCAGGATGAAACCTAATCTGAGTGGACATCTTTGGATGAGGAATGCGGATATGGGACTGAGACCAGGTTTTAGGAAAACGTCAGGGTGGGGACGAGTCGGTACAGAACTAACACACAGGCTTCCACTTCTTCTTCAGGAGCAGAGGAAGCAGACAAGGAAAACACAAGTGGAAGAATGAAGCTCTCCAAACAACCTTTTGCTAAAGCTGTTTCTGGTGTACACCTGTAAATATAGGTGATCAATAAAAGCCTTTGGAAGTGTTAGATCTTGCCTCTCAAATTGTTGGCTATTCCTGTTTCCATGTGTGGACCCAAATTAGTGTCAGTTCCTTCAGTGCATTTTATACAAAGTTCTTGTGCTGGTCCTGAGACTGGTTTAGGTCCTTAAGGGATACTTAAGCATTGTTTTTGGTGGTACTGGGGTTTGAGTGAAGGGACTTTTTTCAAGATAGGGTCTTGGAAACTATTTACCCAGGTTGGCTTTGCTAGGATTACAGGTGTGAGCTACCAGTGCCCATCAGAAATGTTTGAATTGTGTGATTAACAGGGAAGAAAATGCCTGGCCAAGTGTTCTTATGCCTTTTGACCTCAGGTAGCACCCTCCCTACCCCTACAGTGAAAAGTAGACAGATCTTTATCATAAACTACAGAATCTTTCAGGAAGGGCCAGCACATTATCACACAAATACGGAATTGTATAGCAGGTCAACTTTTGTCATGCTACCCTTTTTTAGGAGGGCACTGGGGTTTGAACTCAGGGCCTCAGGTTTGGTAGGCATGTGCTCTTCCACTTGTACCAGGCCTTTGTTGTGATGGGCTTTCTTAAGACAGGTTCTAAGAACTATTTGCCCAGAGGTGATCTCTGCCTCCTGAGTAGCTAGCATTATAGGTGAGCTACTGATGCTGAACTATTTTGCCCAGGCTGGCTTCAAACTCCTGGCTCATTCTACCATTTCTGAGCCACTGTTTCTCCTTCAAAATAACTATTTGTGGTGAAATTGATGTCAAATGGGATTCAAAGTCTCATCACACAGAAAAAAACACTTTAGCAGGCCTTGCAGTTAACTCTAGCTGAAGAGAACAGCCCAAGTCTTGAGCTTTTTGTTCTTGGTCCTGCAACCCTTACCACTTCCACCAGTGTTCAGCCATGCTCCTCTAATTCAAGCTGCTGGACTTAGAGCCAGGTTGTTGGTGTAGCAAGACTAAAATACCATAGACAGGTAACACTGCTGAAAATTCTGGCCCAGGGTCTTCTCGTGCCTGAGAAGGGCCTCTAAACCACAGGATTTAGAAAATTAGCGGGGGCTTGGCCAACACCTGTAATCTGAGCTTCGCAGGAGAGGAGAACCCACCATTTTGGCGCCCCCCCAGTGACTTTGGGCTTCTGGCCTTGAAACTCAATACATGTGGTTGTGCCAGGCAGGTGTCTGTAATCATAGCAGAGATCAGGAGGATCACAGTTTGAAGGCAGGCAGGGCAAATGGTTCACTGGACCCTATCAAAAAACCCTGTAACAAAAAATTGGGCTGGTGGAGTGGCTCAAGGTAAAGGCCCAGATTTTAAGCCCCAGTACCACACACAAAGTTCCTGACCTCAACTCCACCAATAAGAAGCTAGGTGTGGTGGTGAATGCCTGTTAGCTACATTGGAACAAACAGGATTACAATACATGCTGGTACAAAAATGAGACCCTATTTTAAAAAATAAAGCAAAGGGCTGGCATGTGACCACAGTGCCTGCTAAGCAAGTGTGAGCAAGCCCCAGTACCACCAAAAAGAGATCTAGCAATTCACTGGTTAATCCCAAACTTGTCTCCATGTGGCTATCTGGGTGAAGGATGACTCAAGGAAATAATCTGTTTGAACCTTGCTCTACAGCTGGTTTCTTGGTTTTTGCGCTCATGGCTCTATCAAATGACAGCAATGGGGTTGCAGAAATACTCTTAGAAAACAGTCGTCATTAAAATCTTACAAATCATTTCCAAAAAGGTAAAAGTTTTCACAATTAAAAAAAAAATGAAGCCATCTTGACACAATCCGTCCTGGCTACATCATGGCAGGGATCTCTGAAGACACCGTGTCCAGGGGCTGCCAGTGACAGTCCATCAGCGCATCGTACAGCTCTTCGCTCTGTTCCATGAACTCCTTGTTTGCCTCCGTCACGTCCAGCTGTGGCGTGGGGTCTAGAGAGAAGCAAGGGTGGGGTGAAGGTTAAGGGAGGAGACAACAGCCACAAGGGACTGGCTCAGCTTTGCAAGCTCAGCCTCTTAGAGTAAGGTGCCTGAGAGGAGGAAAACTGGCTGACGTAGTTAGAGAATGTAAGAATGGCACTGTTTCCAAAAGCTGCACCTGTGCTGCTAGTCATTGCAAGCCCTGCATTTTCTGTTCTGGTTCACAGGTTCACATTTCGAAAATCTGATCAATGTTGCTGAGTCCGGGGCTGCAGGTGTGGCAGGCTGCTTTGCAATCTTGAAGCACTGAATTCAAACCCCAGTCTCACAAAAAAAAAAAAGGTGGCTCACACCTGTAATCCTAGCTACTCAGGAGGCAGAGATCAGGAGGATCTTGCCAGTCCCAGGCAAATAGTTTGAGACCCTATCTTGAAAATACCCAACACAAAAAGGGCTGGTGGAGTGGCTAAAGGTGTAGGCCCTGAGTTCAAGCCCCAGTATCGCAAAAAAAAAAAAAAAAGTTGCTGAGCCTAAATCATCACCTCAAGAACTGACAACCAATGTCTGGTGGAGAACCAGTCACATATACAGGGGCTGGGAAGACAAGTCTTTATTTTTCTGACAGCACTGAGGCTTGAACTCAGGGCCTTACGCTTTATGGATTGCAAAAAGAAACAGGCAGACAATACTAAACCACATTGCTTATGGATGCATCGCTAAGTGATAAACTATAGAGAAGAAAATAGTACAAAAATCAACACAGTAGCTTTTCCTAGCAGAGCTGCTGTGGCAGGAGGATGGCCTCTGGGCTGGCAGTTCAGTACTTGACGTGGATGAAGGGTTCACGGACAAACACTTCATGATTCCATGTTCCCCTGTGTGTTTGTGACATATACTACTATAGCTGTGTATGTAAACAAATTAAAAACAAAACAGCTGGGGACTAGCTCAAATGGTAGAGCACTTGCCTAGCATGGGTGAGGCCCTAGGCTCCATCTCTCAGCACCACAAGACAACACAAACATTTCTGTCAAAGGACATAATGAAGAAAGTAAAGCAGGGTGCAGTAGTGTCCTTCTGCAATCCCAGTTCTCAGGAGGCCCAGGCAGGAAAATCAAGAGTTGGAGGCCAGCCTTGGGCTACAGAGTAGGTTTGAAGCCAACCTGAGCTACAGAGTGAGACCTTATATATCAAAAGAAAAAAAAAAAATTGTGTCAATATTTTCTTGTGTCAATATTCATTAAAAAAAAAAAAAAAAAGCCATGATTTGTTTGATTTTGGTTTTCGGACTAATCTTGCCCTGTACCCCAGACTGGCCTAGAATTGCTATGTAGCCCAGGCAGCCCTGAAATGACAATCCTCCTGCCCCAGCCCCCAGCCTCCTGAGAGTTGGGATTACAGGTGAACACTGCCATGCCTGGTTTTTTACAGAAACAGAGTATTTTAATTCATGTTTGGTTATTAATAGTAGTAGAGCGATGATTACATATTGTGTTAACTGGCTAGGCTATGGTGCCTAGTTGGTTGGTCAATACCAGTCTAGGTGTTTCTCTAAGGTCCTCTGTAGACAAGATCAGGAGAGGATCCTCAATGCTATCAGTTGAAGCCTTAAGGGCGAGAAATTGTGCCTGAAATTTGCCCTAAGCCTTACACTACAAATGATGACATCAAGGGCTCTTTGAGTTTTCAGAATTCAGACTTGCCAGACTACACAGTACTTCAAGCCAATTTCTTTCTTTTTTTTTGTGCTCTGGTTATTTTTTGAGATCTGGTCTCACTTTTTGTCTTGGCTGGCCTAGTCAACAATCCTTCTCCTTATGTTTCCCACAGCAGCTGGGATGACAGGCACAGACTACCACATCAGTTTTTTCTGTTGAGATGGGATTACAGTTGTGAATGGTGCCCAACTTGTGAGTCAATTTCTTAATAAAACATAACTAAAAACATTCTTTTTTGGTGGCGAAAATGATAATAAAGTTTATTAGGAAAGGAATACACTTTCAACAGACTGAAAGTGGGTCGTGTCTAGAGTGAGAACAAGAAAAATCAAGATTTACTTTTTTGGTGGTACTGGAGTTTGAACTCAGGGCCTTGCCCTTTCCAGGCAGGTACCACTCCATTAGTCCAAAAAAAAGAATTCAGAAAAGATTTTTTTTTGAGACAGGATCTCACTTTGTAATCCAAGCTGGCCTTAAACCTGGGCTCCTCCTGCCTTAGTCTTCTAATTTCTGGGATTACAGACATGGGCCCATTGTTTTTTTTTTTTGGGAGACAAGGTCTTACTATATAGCCCAGGTTGGCCTTTCTCACTGGCACCGCAAAGAAACAAATGAAAACCTCAGTTATTATTATATGGTAACACTAGAGGTGATTTCTAGTTTCTTTATTATATTTTATTGTATTTTGTAAACTTTTAATACTCTTACTTCAAAATCAGAAAAACATGCAATTTAAAATATGTACAGGCCTGGGGGATTTAAGGCAGTGGTACAGCGCTTACCTAGCCTGCCTGAGGCCCTGGGGTCCATCCCCAGGACTAAAAAAATAAAAACAGGACTGGGGCATGGCTCAAGTGATATGGCACTGCCCAGAGTTCAATCCCCAGTACTTCAAACAAACAGACAAACAAAACCCTGAAAAACACAAAAAGTTACAATATAAAATAAAAAATGAATTTCTCAAACTGAGAAACAAAAGCTAACAGCATCATTTTTAGAGATCTACATCCTGGAATCAAGTGCCACACATCGAGGGAGTGATGGGCTCCCTGGGAGCTTGCTCACATGCTGGGTGACACATGGCGGTTGCTGTAATTATGTCTTTGTCTGTTCTCTCATTTGAACACAAGCTCCCTTACAGCAGAATTAACCTGGCATTCCTTAGCATCCAGCTGAAGGTACTGTGCCAGCCACAAATGTCACTTGCTGACGGTGACAGAGGAATGAATCAGTGAACAGACTCTTTCTTACCTTCCAATGCATCATCTCCGACTTCTTCATATGTCTGTCAAGAGACCAGAGAGGCAAATGAGGAGCCTGCTGAAATCCTGGCCCTTGGGAGCAATGGCTCTTTTGTTTTGTTTTGTTTTCTTTTGTTTGATATGGGGTGTTCCTATGTAGCCCAGGCTGGCCTCAAACTTGGGATTCCTCCTACTTTTGCCCCAAATGCTGGGATTACAGGCATGAGCCACCACACCCAGCCACAATGGCTTATTTTAACAAGAACTGGGTCACTTTAGCTTTCCTGTTTTTCTGAAACCCAAGCCCCTCTCACCAATCCTATTCTAGGGAAACATGACCCAAGAGGGCCAGAGCTGCCAAGAAGCAATTACCTGCATGGTGCTCTGGGTGTAGCCATACTGGGGGTAGCTGTAGCTGTAGCTCCCTGTGTTCTGGTCATAGCCCCACTGAGCATAGTAGTTCTGGTACTGCTGGTAATACTGGTTGTAGCTGTAACTGTACATCTGACTATATTCCACGGGCTTCACACGGCTCCTTGAGTGAAGAAATAAACAAATGTAAGCAGACATTTCCACATTCGATATGTGGCCAGACTGTTCTAAGTGTTTTACGCAGATTGACTCACTTAATCCTCACGCTAGCCTTGGCCAATCAGCATACCATTATTCCTACTTTAGAAATGAGGAAACTGAATAGACAGGTTAAGTAACTGGTCCAGAGTCACACAGCTAAGAGGAGATTCAATCAAACCCAGGAAGTCTGTCTCCAGAGACCATGTTTTTAAGGTGAAAGCTTTTACTTTTTTGGAGACAAGGTCTTACTACATAGTCCAGGTTGGCCTCAAACTGGTGTTTTGAACTCAGGGACTCATGCTTACTAGTCAGGCACTCCAGCACTTGAGCCACTTAGACAGCTGAGGACTGACTTTTTCTCCCTTGTCAAGATCTTGGAACTGTTTTCTCTGCCAGTTGCCAAAGCACATGAAATCACAGCAAGAATCTGGATTTAGGATGGTTCAAGAAGCATTTCAAACTACAGAATATCAGATCACTTTCCCCCCAGAAGAAGAAGACAGACACTCCAGTAATCTTTATCAATTTGTGGTAACATTATTTTTGTTTTTGGTGCTGGGGATGGAAACAAGTTTCACACATGCTAGGCACGCTGTATCACTGAGTGACACCACCAGCCATGGCTACCATTTATTTGAGGGGTTAACTGAGATTTGTACCAATCACTTTTCATCTATGGTCAATTATTTTAAGTCCTGCATAGCCCTTCAATACAGGTATTATTTATAATTCCCATTACACAGATGAGAAAACTGAGTTTCTAAAAAGTTAAGTGATTTGCCCAACTCCATGCCTAGGACTGGAGTCAGATTTAATGCCAATACTCACTCTCCTAATACCACACTCACACCACCCAATACCTGTGCTGAAAAGCTCACATCTTACCAGTTTTCTACATCCTGCATTCGCCAATCAGGGCTGAGGTCCAGGGTTGGAGAAAGCTTTCTTCCAATGCACAGTGGGCATAGCCACTGGTAACACACACACACACACACACACACACACACACAAATGGAGATACCATCCAGAGCAAAGCTGTCATATATCTGTGCAAGAAGCCTGCTTGGACTTGCAAGGAGGGATTTTCTACCTTCTAGGTAGAGAAGGTTCTACCTAGTATGAGAGACGTAATCGTGATGTATATTCTGTAAGGGTTCTGGAATTCTCCACCATTCCCATAGCAAAGGGCATTCGTAGGAGCTTTGTAGATATAAATAAGGACACATGTGGAAGTGGCTCAGTTCTTAGAAATGCCATGGATAAATTCCCAACAGCACTACTCCTGGGCAAAGAGCAGAGACTTTAGGTAAAAATGGCCAAGCAGCTTCTCCACTGCTGCTACCAGCAATGTACCAGTCAGCACTCTAGCCCAACTAGAGACTTCTGGAGGAGTGAGGTTTTGCTAGTTCATCTCCCATTGCCCAGTTCCTGGCAAAAAGCAAACGGTCAGCATGTGAGACTGGAACTTAATCTCCTTCTAGCCTCCCAGCCAGCGTGCGGATTCCCTGATTCTCAGCAAACAGACAAGGAGGGTCCAGGTGGGATGAGTCCAGGGTCCTCCCTTCCTCTCTTCAGACTCACGCTTTTGGGATGGCCACGCTCAGTCGCACGGGTTTAGACCCCAGTCCTACTGCTCCCTGGCACTCTGTCAGGGCTCGCTTCTGTTCCAATTCGTCTGTGAATTTTACAAAACCATAACCCCTGCAGGAGAAAAAACCCAAAGCACCATTTAGATCACAAGCACGCTAGAGTCTGAGAATGGAAGAATGGGAAAACGGGGAGGATAAGAAGATGGACAGGAATATGGAAAGGAAAGGGGGCTGGGAGGGGAAGTCCATCAAACTACAGGAAAGGATGGGAATCCCATCACTGGAGGTGTCCACACAGCAGTGTCAGGGTTCACATGCTGTACAATCCTGAAATCTGTAGGAATTCCCACTTTTAGTTCACCACTCTCCACACCTTCACTTATGGGGCCCCTTCCCAAATAGTATTTTCCCTCCCAGTCTACTGCAAAGTAACAAGCTGTTATCATTGCCATGGTGTGGCAGCAACAGTAACAGTGGATCTGCACTCTGCACTACACACACTCTCCCAGCCACTGCCTGGCACTGACACAGGATGCAAAAGTCACAGTACGTTTGGTTACTGCTCTCCTCACGTCACAGTCTAGTCGGGAATAAACTAATGACAGTTAGCATTTAGTGAGCACTTATTATTTGCCAGGCATTGTCCTGACCATTTTCTCAGGGTCATCTCACCACACAGTACGACAACCACGTGAAGGCAGCATCCACATTTTACGGATGAGTAAAGTTCAGAGAGGTTTGACAACTTGCCCGAAGTCATACATAAAGCAGGATTAAAATCCACATCTGTTTGACTACCAAAGCCTGAACTTATAACTACTATACTGACCAAGAATGAGCCTTGTGCCAGGTGCCAGTGGCTCATGTCTGTAATCCTAGCTACTTGGGAAACAGAGATCAGGAGGATCTTGGTTCAAAGACAGTCCAGGCAAATGGTTTGGTTTGGAGGATTGTATCTCGAAAATACCCAACACAAAAAACGGCTGGTGTGGCTCAAGTGGTAGAGTGCCTGCTTAGCAAGTTCGAGGTCCTGAGTTCAAAACCCAGTACCACCAAAAAAAAATAAATACATAAATAAAAGAATGAGCCTGGCTACATGGTGCTGGTGAGTCACATCTTTAATCCTAGCTACTTAGGAGCCTAAGACCAGGAGGATTGTGGTTCAAAGCCAGCCTGGAAAATATATTGTTCACAAGATCCTACCGCAAAAACACCAAACACTAAAAAGGGCTAGCAGAGCCAGGTGCTGGCAGCTCACATCTTTAATTCTAGCTACTCAGGCAGCAGAGATCAGGAGGATCATGGTTTGAAGCTGGCCGTGGCAAATAGTTCTGCAAGACCCTATCTAGAAAAAACCCTTCACAAAAAAAAAAAAAAAAAGGGCTGGTGAAGTGACTCAAAGGGTAGGCCCTGAGTTCAAGCCCCAGAACCACTGGAAAAAAAAAAAAGGGCTAGCAGAATGGTTCAAATGACTGTGAGAACCTGAGTTCAAACTCTAGTACCACAAAAACAAAAACAACAAAATAGTTGCTGGTGGAATGGCTCAAGTTGCAGAGCTCCCAGCACTATGAGACTCCCCAAGTATGAGGCTCTGAGTTCAAACCCCAGCACCTCTGGGTGCCCATGGCCCAAGTCTGTCATCCTAGCTACTTGGGAGGCAGAGATCAGGAGGATCACAGCTCAAAGCCAGTCCTGGCAAACAGTTCGTGAGACCCTATCTCCAAAATTCCCAACACAAAACAGGGCTGGTGGAGTGGCTCAAGTGGTAGAGTGCCTGTTTAGCAAGCATGAGGCCCTGAGTTCAAATCCCACACCACCAAAAAAAAAAAACCCACAGTACTACCATAAAAATATTAAATAAAAATAATAAATACAATTACAAGCATCTATAAAGCATTTCCTATATGACTCATTGATATTATATCCTTTAATCCTACAAGGATCCTATGAAAGATATTCTTAGTTAGATCCCTTTTACAGATGATGACGTTATCTATTGCATTGCCCCTCATCAGTACTGGAGTTGGGATTAAAACTAGCTGGCGTGGCTCCAGAGCCTAGCTCTGAGACACCACCCTCCTGGTCTCTTAACACCTCCCCACAGAAGACAAGACTGCTGAAGCTAACAGGGTAGAGGTCAGTAACAGGTGAGGCCTTACTTAGACACGCCTGTCTGGTCCAAAACCACCTTGCCTCCTCGACAGGAGGGATAGACTTTGACGAAGAACTCATACAGCATGCCATCATCCACATCTGGAGTCAGGTCCCCCACAAAGAGGGAGTACTCAGGGCTAAGAGGAAAGAACAAGAGTCAGTGACAAAGACCAAAACCCCACTCTGCAGAACTCTTTTGGCACATTCCAATTCCAGGTAAACTTCTCCAGGGCCTTCTTAGGGAATATCATGTCTGATGGTGAATCACTTAACCAGGTTCTTTTTTTGTGTGGTACTGGGATTTGAACTCAGGGCCTACACCTTGAACCACACTACAAGCCCTTTTTTGTTTTTTTCATTTTTCTTTTATTATTCATATGTGCATACAAGGCTTGGTTCACTTCTCCCCACTGCCCCCACCCCCTCCCTTACCACCCACTCCGCCCCCTCCCTCTCCCCCCCCCAATACCCAGCAGAAACTATTTTGCCCTTATTTCTAATTTTGTTGTAGAGAGTATAAGCAATAATAGGAAGGAACAAGGGGTTTTGCTGGTTGAGATAAGGATAGCTATACAGGGCATTGACTCACATTGATTTCCTGTGCGTGGGTGTTACCTTCTAGGTTAATTCTTTTTGATCTAACCTTTTCTCTAGTACCTGTTCCCCTTTTCCTATTGGCCTCAGTTGCTTTAAGGTATCTGCTTTAGTTTCTCTGCGTTAAGGGCAACAAATGCTAGCTAGTTTTTTAGGTGTCTTACCTATCCTCACCCCTCCCTTGTGTGCTCTCGCTTTTATCATGTGCTCATAGTCCAATCCCCTTGTTGTGTTTGCCCTTGATCTAATGTCCACATATGAGGGAGAACATACGATTTTTGGTCTTTTGGCCAGGCTAACCTCACTCAGAATGATGTTCTCCAATTCCATCCATTTACCAGCGAATGATAACATTTCGTTCTTCTTCATGGCTGCATAAAATTCCATTGTGTATAGATACCACATTTTCTTAATCCATTCGTCAGTGTGGGGCATCTTGGCTGTTTCCATAACTTGGCTATTGTGAATAGTGCCGCAATAAACATGGATGTGCAGGTGCCTCTGGAGTAACAGTCTTTTGGGTATATCCCCAAGAGTGGTATTGCTGGATCAAATGGTAGATCGATGTCCAGCTTTTTAAGTAGCCTCCAAATTTTTTTCCAGAGTGGTTGTACTAGTCTACATTCCCACCAACAGTGTAAGAGGGTTCCTTTTTCCCCGCATCCTCGCCAACACCTGTTGTTGGTGGTGTTGCTGATGATGGCTATTCTAACAGGGTGAGGTGGAATCTTAGCGTGGTTTTAATTTGCATTTCCTTTATTGCTAGAGATGGTGAGCATTTTTTCATGTTTTTCTGGCCATTTGAATTTCTTCTTTTGAGAAAGTTCTGTTTAGTTCACTGCCCATTTCTTTATTGGTTCATTAGTTTTGGGAGAATTTAGTTTTTTAAGTTCCCTGTATATTCTGGTTATCAGTCCTTTGTCTGATGTATAGTTGGCAAATATTTTCTCCCACTCTGTGGGTGTTCTCTTCAGTTTAGAGACCATTTCTTTTGATGAACAGAAGCTTTTTAGTTTTATGAGGTCCATTTATCTATGCTATCTCTTAGTTGCTGTGCTGCTGGGGTTTCATTGAGAAAGTTCTTACCTATACCTACTAACTCCAGAGTATTTCCTACTCTTTCTTGTATCAACTTAAGAGTTTGGGGTCTGATATTAAGATCCTTGATCCATTTTGAGTTAATCTTGGTATAGGGTGATATACATGGATCTAGTTTCAGTTTTTGCAGACTGCTAACCAGTTTTCCCAGCAGTTTTTGTTGAAGAGGCTGCTATTTCTCCATCGTATATTTTTAGCTCCTTTGTCAAAGATAAGTTGCTTATAGTTGTGTGGCTTCATATCTGGATCCTCTATTCTGTTCCACTGGTCTTCATGTCTGTTTTTGTGCCAGTACCATGCTTTTTTATTGTTATTGCTTTGTAATATAGTTTGAAGTCAGGTATTGTGATACCTCCTGCATTGTTCTTTTGACTGAGTATTGCCTTGGCTATTCGTGGCCTCTTGTTTTCCATATAAATTTAACAGATTTTTCAATCTCTTAATGAATGTCATTGGAATTTTGATGGGAATTGCATTAAACATGTAGATTACTTTGGGAGTATCGACATTTTACTATGTTGATTCTACCAATCCATGAGCATGGGAGATCTCTCCACTTTCTATAGTCTTCCTCAATCTCTTTCTTCAGAAGTGTATAGTTTTCCTTGTAGAGTCTTTCACATCTTTTGTTAGGTTTACACCTAGGTATTTGATTTTTTTGAGGCTATTGTAAATGGAATTGTTTTCATACATTCTTTTCCGTTTGCTCATTGTTAGTGTATAGAAATGCTAATGATTTTTCTATGTTGATTTTATATCCTGCTACCTTGCTATAGCTATTGATGATGTCTAGAAGCTTCTGAGTAGTTTTTTGGGTCTTTAAGGTATAGGATCATGTCGTCTGCAAATAGGGATATTTTGACAGTTTCTTTACCTATTTGTATTCCTTTTATTCCTTCTTCTTGCCTAATTGCTCTGGCTAGGAATTCCAGTACTATGTTGAATAGGAGTGGAGATAGTGGGCATCCTTGTCTGGTTCCTGATTTTAGAGGGAATGGTTTTTTTTTCTCTGTTAAGTTAATGCTGGCTGTAGGTTTGTCATATATAGCTTTTATAATGTTGAGGAACTTTCCTTCTATTCCTAGTTTTCTTAGAGCTTTTATCATGAAATGATGTTGGATCTTATCAAAGGCTTTTCTGCATCTATTGAGATGATCAAGTGGTTTTTGCTTTGCTTCTGTTAATGTGGTTTATTACGTTTATTGATTTTCGTATGTTGAACCACCCCTGCATCCCTGGGATGAAGCCTACTTGGTCGTGGTGAATAATCTTTTTGATGTGTTGCTGAATTCGGTTTGCCATTATTTTGTTGAGGATTTTTGCATCAATGCTCATTAAGGAGATTGGCCTATAGTTCTCCTTTTTGGAGGTGTCTTTGCCTGGTTTTGGGATAAGTGTAATACTGGCTTCATAAAATGTGTTGGGCAGTTTTCCTTCCCTTTCTATTTCATGGAACAGTTTAAGGAGGGTTGGTATCAGTTCTTCTTTAAAGGTCTGATAGAATTCAGCAGAGAATCCATCAGGTCCTGGACTTTTCTTTTTGGGGAGACTCTTGATTGCTGCTTCAATTTCATTTTGTGTTATAGGTCTATTCAGGTGATTAATTTCCTCTTGGTTCAGTTTTGGATGATCATATGTATCTAGAAATCTGTCCATTTCTTTTAGATTTTCAAATTTATTTGAATATAGGTTCTCAAAGTAGTCTCTGATGATTTCCTGGACTTCCATGGTGTTTGTTGTTACCTCCCCTTTGCATTCCTAATTCTACTAATTTGGGTTTTTTCTCTCCTCATTTTAGTCAGGTTTGCCAGGGGTCTATCGATCTTGTTTATTTTTTCAAAGAACCAACTTTTTGTTTCATTAATTCTTTGTATGGTTTTTTTGGTTTCTATTTTGTTGATTTCAGCTCTTATTTTTATTATTTCTCTCCTTCTATTTGTTTTGGGATTTGCTTGTTCTTGTTTTTCTAGGAGTTTGAGATGTATCATTAGGTCATTGATTTGGGATCTTTCAATCTTTTTAATATATGCACTCATGGCTATAAACTTTCCTCTCAAGACTGCCTTAGCTGTGTCCCATAGGTTCCGGTAGGTTGTGTTTTCATTTTCATTGACTTCCAGGAACTTTTTAATTTCCTCTTTTATTGCATCGATGATCCACTCTTCATTAAGTAATGAGTTATTTAGTTTCCAGCTGTTTGCATGTTTTTTGTCTTTACTTTTGTTGTTGAGTTCTACTTTTACTGCATTGTGGTCAGATAGTATGCACGGTATTATTTCTATTTTCTTATATTTGCTGAGGCTACAAGCCCTTTTTTGTGATGGGTTTTTTCAATATAGGTTCTCTGGAACTATTTGCCCAGGCTGACATTGAACTTTGATCCTCCTGATCTCTTGCCTCCTGAGCAGCTAGGATTATAGGTGTGAGCATGGGCTCCTGGCTAAACAGGTTTTTTCTTTTTCCTGTACTGGGGACAGAACCTAGGGCCTCATGCATCCTAAGGTATAATCACGTTCTAACTTACTTAGTTTTGTCAAAAGAATTATGACAATATTATGCCTTGAATTCCTAAGCCACTACAAAAGCCTGTCTGGCTTCTAATATTCAAGTATGAATACAGATGGAGGGATGGATCAGAAGTACATCCCTGAAGAGCTCAAAAGATAAAACTTGTTTTTGAAAGAAATTAAGACATTCTGTGTCCATTACATTTTTCTGTTATTCATTTATTTATTATTGTGCTGGATGTGGGTACACTGTCGGTACAACACATCACAATCTCCTTTATCGCCCTCCCCCAATCTGCTATTTTTTTTCATCTCTTTCGTGTACTTAGGTTTGAACCTCAGCACCCATGCTTGCGTTCTAGCAAAGTAAATACCTCTACCACTTGAGCTAACACCCTTCAGTCCAACATTATTTTCCATTATAAACATGATAAAGAGGAAAATGAAAGAGAAAAGAGACAAAACTGGCCCTTATCCCTAAAGACCTCAAGCTTGCCTAAAATCCAATCTTCAAATTTTAAACATAAAGTTAGCCAACTTTTATTTTGGCTCTACTGGGTTTGAACTCAGGACTCACAATTTTAGGTAGAGTGTTCTACTGCGTAGCCATTCCACAGCCCTGTTTTGTAGAGTGGTATTTTCAAGATAGAGTCTCTTGAGTATTTGCCGGGTCAGGCTTCAAGAACCTCGATTATTCCCTGATCTACTGCCTTTGAGTAGTTAGTGTGCATGATCCACAAGCACCATGAGAGTTAGCAAACTTTTTGTTACAGACAGATAGCAAATATTTTAACTACCCGTTCTTTCCCATTTTGTCTACCTATTTGTACAATCCTTT